AGTCAATCCTATCAAAGTAATGAAAGCAACGTAAGCATCTGCAAAGTATGTGGAACAGCTTACATATCGCTACAAAAATGCTTGCAGCTGGCTTTCTGCTTTGCATTCTTAAAGCAGTTAATTCCAGTTTATTACATATTTCTGATCCACTGAATATGAAAGCTCATACTGAAGCACATTCAATTAGCTGTGATTTAGTCTATTGATGTAATAAGGATGGACAAAAAAAGAGAGAAAATAGGAAGAAAATAATTGCTGAAATATAGAATTTGTGCAGGATTGATCATGACTAACATGTATCAGAAAGTGAATGATGACATTCAACTGGATCAAAATAATCCTCCCCTATTGTTAAATGAATAATGGTATCTAGCTCTAAATTAGAACTCCAATTGCAGTGGATATTCATTGTGGACTACTCAATGATGTTGATGCTTTCACAGTCAGGATCCAAGGCTCTTTGCTTTGAATCTGAATTGAGACAAAATACAAGAAAGATGTGCAGATACTGTAAATCCAGTTGCCCCTCAGGTGGGGACACTGTTAACTGATTAAATCTGCTCCTGTGACTGGATAGCTGCTAGCTGGAGGCATGAGGAATAGGTTAATTTACTTTAAGAAGATAAACTGTAGAATTAATTTGATCACGAGGATGCAGAAAGCAGTAATCAATCTTAAGGTAAGAGGAAAAAGAAATGAATTCTCATTTTATAATGTGGGTAATTATTTAAGCACCATGAGTTATCTAATTTATAATTCTCCTTTAATTTTTTTCCCTGTGGAATCTAAGTTATTAACTACTACAAATTTCATTGTATTCAAGAAAATATATTATAAGAATTAAGTAATACTTAAAGAAGAAAGAACAAGTTAGTGATTTCCTTAGGTAAATAATGGGCCAGAATGAATCAAAGGCAAATGTTTGTTTTACTGACATATGTATTTCAGTGGATTAACTTTTAGACCCATTTTATTTGTCCATCTTAATTAATAATAGCTCAACTGGGGCTTAAAGGGTTTTAAAGTCATGATAGTGATTCAGTACTCATTCTTTAAGGTAATAAACTGTTTCAGAAACTTTTTTTTTACTATTTAAAATGTATAATATCAAATATATATTTGCTTTAAGAAAATAAAAATAATATGTAAATTAATCCCCATATATAGGCTGAATTAATAGAACATATATTGTAGAAAGACAAAAATATTTTAATGTATTGAATATATTGTATTATAAAAATACACCTGCACTTTAACATGAGATTTTTTTACACATAGTATATTAGAAAACATATGGCAGAGAGATGTTTTGTAAATACTGGGCAGTAGGTCTAATACTCAGATTTAGCCATAATCTCTCTGTCTCTCTCTTTCTCTCTCTCTCTCTCTCAAAGACTTTCATAAAAATTTGTTAGTAGCCGGGACCGGTTTGGCTCAGTGGATAGAGCATCGGTCTGCGGACTGAAGGGTCCCGGGTTCGTCCCGGGTTCGATTCTGGTCAGGGGCATGTACCTGGGTTGCGGGCACTTCCCCAGTGGGGGATGTGCAGGAGGCAGCTGATCGATGTTTCTCTCTCATCGATGTTTCTAACTCTCTATCTCTCTCCCTTCCTCTCTGTAAACAATCAATAAAATATATTTAAAAAAAATTTGTTAGTAAAGTTAAGAAACTAAATATCCTTCAAGAAAATTAAAGGATGCAGAAGAGAAGAATGCAATTTCAAAGATTAATTGAAAGGAATATTAAAAGCAATAGGGAAATTAATGAAAAGAAAATACATTGATAGGTACCTTGAATAATCTATGGACTTAGCTTTAGGTAGAAATCATATTTTTTAGAATACTTTGTCAAAGGCCCTATGTTTTAGGCATGGGTTTTCAAGACAGAAAGATACCGATATTTTCAAAGTTTAACTACTTTGTGCTACGAAATTAGACAAGTTACTTAAACTCTGGCCTCAGTTGCCTCATTTTTAAAAGGAAATGGTAACACCTATCTTTCTGCATTCATGTGTAGATCAACCTACAAAATATATGTCAGGATATGGGCTAATAACAAATAGTGGTTTTTACTTTCTAAGGGTAAAATGTAGTCATCAACTTACTGAGTAGGTTATAAAACAATTATGTAATTTTGAGGCTGCTGGAACTGGTTTGGTTCCAGACTTTAAGAAGCTTTTGAGATTTGCATAGTGTGAGCAAGGAACACCATCAAGAAAAATATGTCCCATATTTTAGATCCTAGCCATTTTTTTTATGCTTTCTAACCCCCTAAAATGTATGCTGAAATCTGACATGAGTATCTTTATCTGAGCATCTCATGATTATATGTTATTAATTTCCTGGTAAGACTTTGTGTAGCAATCAGGTTATCATAATTCCTCTTAAGTTACTCCACACAGTGTTTCTACCACAGTGATCCGGCTCCCATTTCCACGTTTACCTTTAGTAAGTTTTCCTTGGGGACCACACTGCTGGAGAAGTGAGGAAAACTCGATGCTTCTGAGAGGCATTTGTTCCCAATTAGAGATGAAAAATGTTTTCATATCTAACATGGTGTGGTTTCCCATCCATCTGGTTCTATGAGGTATCTATGACATTGCTTTACTATACTCCTGTCTAGATGTTTGTTATAACGCCAAAGGGCCACAGTGGACAGCAGACAGTGGTTCCATAAGGGGCTCTTCATTCTCTTCCTGAAATATTAACGATGGCAATTTTCTCAGTCTTATTTTACTTTTAATAATTTAAGGATAAAGTTGAGTTTTATGAACTGTGAGTTCAATAAGAAAAAAAAAATTAAAAAGTTCATTTTTGTCCAAGAAGGGAGCGGAGGGGAAGGGCAAAAAAAAAAAAAAACGCTGCTCCATGTGAGTTATCACCTCTTGTCTGGTTCCTTTCCCATCCATGTCAGTCATAAAATCGAGAGTTGTAAGCTGTTTGATTTGCAGAAATGAACTTGTTAGTGGGTGGTCTCTTCTCTGTAACTGCAGATATAGAAGAAACTGACCCTCCTTTATTTCCCATTATCCCCTGTCCAGAGAGGTTACAAATATGCAAGTATGTCCAAATGTTTCTGAACTAAACATTCAACAATCGCAAACCTCTATTAAAGTCTGATATGACTTCCCTCTTCGCCAATTTGACTTTTGTAATTGAGACAAAATGACACATGCCTGTGTTAATCTCTGTATTAATTTGGTATTGTTCCTGTCCACTGCCGGCTCTATCACAGGCCCTTCCCTTTGGCAGCCTGCTCTTTAGTGTCTGAGTGAAGCCGGTGTTCATTCCCGCTCACAGGCGTGCTCGGCAGCTGCCTGGCCAGATGCTCCACGGCTGGGTACTTTGTCTGATCTGAGTCTAGGGACATGATCAGGCTGCTTTCGAAATATTTAATTTATCCAGATGTCACAAATTTCAACTTGCTGTCAGTTGTGATGAATTTGTTTCATAATTAACATTTGCAGACATGACAATGTGAAAATAGTCTTTCAGATGCATACATCAAAAATTTATGTTTTTCTCCTTTGATGTTTTCTTTTTCATGATTTTCTTCTTTCATATTAAATAATTTCCTCTTCAGATTTAATGTTTATGTTTTTAATTTATTAAAAGGAGAACTACATTTCTATGTAAACTATATGTGAACTACAACTGGTGTAAGTTTTTTAGCTGAACATAAGTTCCATTGTATTCTAAAAGTTTCACTGTTATATGTTCTACTATTCAATTCATTCCAGATTCTACTTAATTACTCTGTGATTCAAAGTTATTTGTGAATAAATTAATTTGGCCCTATTATTAATTTCTAATTGATTGAATTAAGGTAAATAATATGCCCAAAAGAATTAATAGTTTTGAGAATTTTTTAAAGATTTTCTTTGCAGCCTAAACCGGTTTGGCTCAGTGGATAGAGCGTTGGCCTGCGGACTGAAAGGTCCCAGGTTCAATTCCGGTCAAGGGCATGTACCTGGGTTGCGGGCACATCCCCAGTGGGAGATGTGCAGGAGGCAGCTGATCGATGTTTCTGTCTCATCGATGTTTCTAACTCTCTATCTCTCTCCCTTCCTCTCTGTAAAAAAATCAATAAAATATATATTAAAAAATATTTTCTTTGCAGCGAATTTATGTCAAATGATTTTTCATGTGTATAGGTGTGCTCTGTGAGAAATGTAACTCTTTATCTTAAGTTCATTTTTAATTTTTCTAAAAACCTGTATATCCTTATATTTTTTTTTGCCTTTTAGAATGTGTCCAATTCTGAAAAAAGATCTCCCACATAATTTTTTTTCTAGACTTCTATCCTGTATTATGAATATGTTCTTACTTTGACATTTGATTGTTTAGTGCATTCAGATTTATGGCACAGCCTTTACTTCTTTGATGCTTTCATCATCCTGCAGCATGTATCTTTCATCTTTGTTGCTTTTAACAATATACATATTTTTATTGATTTCAGAAAGGAAGGGGGAGCAAGAGAAAGAGAGATAGAAACATCAATAATGAGAGAGAACCATTGATTGGCTGCCTTCTGCACACCCCTCTGGGGACCAAGCCAGCAACCTGGGCATGTGCTGGAATCCAACCTAGAAACCTTCAGTCCCCAGGCTAACATGCTATCCACTGAGCCAACCAACCAGGGCCATCTTTGTTGCTTTTAATTTCAGATAGTTTTTTTGCTTTTACTCTTTCTTTTTATTTTTATCAGTCAGGTATCTACCTGCTTATCATTTTATAGGCTATTATTTTGTTTCTAGAAGGATTCTTCTAAAAAAACGTATTACTAGGGTTTCATTCTATTTGTTTCAATTAAAACATTTCTGACTTTAATAGGATAAGTTGTGTGTTCTCTTTCAGTGTAAAAATGTATATGCTTTATTTTTTCTTGTAGTTTACTGCCGGGAGCCGGTCCATCCTTGCTGTTTCAAGGGACCTGGCATATATGGCATACTGTTCTTAATATGTTTGCTCACCTTCTTGGCACTATGTGTTTTAACCAAGGTCACCTCTCTGAGAAAGGTTGTTTCCCCAGGTAGGGATTTTCCCCTGAAGTTAGGGAGGGAATAAAACCTCTTAACCCCTTCCCCAGCAGAA